GATAATTAAATTTTCCATATTATTACAAATTGATTCTATTGAATTGTTTGGTAAATTTGCAATTTGAAAAGTTGAATCTAATATTCTTGATTGAGTAAAATTTTGACTTTGTTGTGAACTAGAATCGCTTTCAAACTCAAATAAATCGTCTATTTCTAAACTTTTATTAATATCTATAGTTACTTCGCTTGATTTGGTACTGGTTTGACTTATATTTTGATCATTTATTTCTTCATTAATATCATTTGGTTCGAAAGAAACTATTTTCTTGAGAGCTGAAACAACTTCTCGTATATTTGGACGTTCTTCTGGTTCGTATTTCCAACATTCTAGTTAATAAATAATTTATTAGTTTATTTTTTTATATTAATAAAAACTCTAATAAAACTTTAATACCTTTATATAACATACTATATTCTAATGGTGTACCATCAATAACTTTTTCTCTTTCTCCACCTTGTATGGCCGATTTCAAACTTATGTCATGATGTTTACCTTTAAATGGCTGATGTCCACTTGAAATTTGCCACATGAGCATTCCAACGCTATATACATCAGATTTCTTATTTAATTTGTCTTTTTGACCCAAATTACCTAATAATTTTGGGTCTACATAAGGTAAAACGCCAAGCAATTTTGTTGCATTGCTTGATGCTTCGGCGATTTTTCTTGATAGACCAAAATCTGCCAATTTAATATTTTTCTGATGCACCAGTATATTACTCGCGTGCTGAAGTTTAAATGATATCAATAAAATATACAATAAGAAGAAATACAATAATGGAATTTACAACAATAACTTAGTTACCAGATCTCGATGAATAATATCACATTCATGAATGCATTCTACGGCACTAGAAAGTTGCAATGCTAGCTGAAATTTGTCATTCCAATCAAGTTCATTGAAATTCATATTTAAATAAGTATTTAATGTACCGCTATCGGCATATTCTAAAACTAGTAAGTATTTATTCGTTTGATGAATTACATCTAAACACAAATTGTAAAATTAAAGATTCATATTTAATTGATGCATATATATATTTTAAGTATTGATTCTATTCTTACCAAATTCTATCTTTGTAATTCCATAAAATCGTAAAATATTTGAATGAAAATCAACTTTTTTTTGTAATTTTATCTACAAAGAATACGCAAATTAATTTTTAAACTAATTTGTTAATCATTTAATAAAATTATTAAGACATTATACCTCATTGACGACCTCTTTAAGGGTTAATTTATATTCATCAAATGACTTCAAAGCAAATATCGCATCAGTATTTTTCCAACTCGCACAAAAGACTTTACCAAATGAGCCACTTCCTATTGGTTTTATATCTTTGAAGTCTGAATATTCGTAATAATTAAGACATTCATCGGCAATTGTATTTTCTAACCAATCTATATAATATTTTGATTCCGTTAGTTCGTCTTTATTTGATATTTTAGACATAATTTGTTTTAAATTCAAAAATATTAAGGCATGTTTTGATTGATGAAAACAACGTTACAGTAGTACAGATATTTCTTATTGTACCACGATTTCATACGTTTTATTGACAAACTTTTAAACCTTTACGGTTCCTTTTTTTAAATAAAAGAAAATAAGTTTGTCAAAAAATTTTTTATCGTATCGTAATAATTTTCCCAACAAATTATTTAAGTCTGTACATTGTCGATCATTACAGTTTTAGAAATTGGGTAAATATTTGCATTGGCGTGCAGATTACCGCAAGTTCAAAATGCTCTGCGTACTACATTTGTATTCAAAAGTGTTGTTGTATGAACTACACGAGTTTTCATTATAGGAAATTTATGAAATCTAAATGAATATTAACAATATTTGTAAATGTTGCTTTTTGCTCATCAATTTTGAATGTTCTTTATACCATAATTCAGTCAATTTATGTATTATTAATTGAAATTAAAGGTTCGAATCAAAAATTCGATTAATCAATCGTTCATAAAATTTATAATCGATTATTATCCAAATTACTGTCGGATCTCGATGTACAGATATCCTATGTAACGATAATTGTACATACCAATAAATTTCCATGTCCCGTTTCACAATTAATAAAAAAAACCTCGTTGTACCGATATTATATATAGTTTTACGATGTAACTATACCGATATTTTCTTTTACCCCTTTATAAATAATATTATAAATGATGTACCGATATTTTATAAATGTGATAATTTTCATAATGCATCTTTGTTTGCATTATAAAATCATGTCTCAACTTCATGAAAAAAGAAAGTCAACTCAAGATAAAGAACGAGTTGTTTTAACACATTCACTGAAACGACAACTCTGTTTAGACCATCAAAATCACCACGGCCTATTAAGATGAACTTGCCACATTATATAATATTAAACAAAATACTGTTTCTGATACAAAGTGCATATTGGAAACATTAGATAAAGAAAGGAAATTTTGTGTGAAATTATTAAAATTATGATTTAAATAATGTTTTTAACTGTGATGAGACAGGTAATTCTTAAATTTTCTTTTAAACAATTGAATAATATTTAATAAAATTTATTTATTCTAAAATTGTATTAGATCTTAAACCTTTTAAAATATTAGCATAAAGTTCACGTTCTGAAAAATAAAATCAAAAAGTTGGTTACTCTTCTGCTTATATCAATAAAACTGAAACTGAAAAATTGAAACCATTTTTTATTCATATTTACCAAGTTTCAATATGGAATAATTATCTTATAAATTGGATATTAATATAATTCTAACTGTTATACTTGTATATTATTTTATGTTTGATAATTTATTATATGTTATAACAATACAATCATAGTAAAATTTTATGTTATATATTAATTAATATACTTTATTAAAATTTCAGTGCATAAAATTTTTATAGTATACTAATAATTTAATATACTAATATTTTTTTCACAAATTGAAATCATCAGTATATCAAGGTCTGATTGTAACTATTTGATAATAAAATTATTTGAATTACTCAGATTATCTGAATTAAGAATTTGAACATTTGGAA